TTTTTCTCCGGTACCGGGAACCGAACTCACGACCTTGCGCTTGCCAGGCAGGTGCTTTTGCCGCTGAGCTAAATCCCCAGCCCCTACACCAGGGGACTTCTTTAATGGCTTCATGCTTATAATTTACTACAGGTCATTTTGTCTTGTTTCAATAATTTCAATCGTTATTGATTCTTTGATCTTTTCTCTTCTAGAAAAGTTTTTCTAGTATTTACAAGTTAAGCTGTCTCTCTATATTATAGTATATTGTGTTCTAATAATCATTTCTCAAAACAGTGAATATAAAATTTTGTGGTTATTTTAGAATGTTTACAGCATTGCTTTCTTCTTCTTTCTTTAAGAATGTAGTATTTTTAAAATTAAATCTGACCCACAATGAAAGTAATCATTATGTTTGTACTGCAAACATGTACTAATAAAAAGAATTATATCGGCAGGAGGCGAGGTAGCTTGCACCTGTAATCCCAGAGGTTCAGGTGGCTGAAGAGAGCGCTCCCTTGAGTCCAGGAGTTTGAGGCCAACCTGGGAGACATAATAAGATCCCAACTCCCCCCGCAAAAGTGTATATTTTAGATTAACTTTTTATTAACATATTTTTTTGGAATTCACAAAAATAAAAATGTGTATTGCAGAAAATTAGCCTTGATTTCTTTTTAAATTTAATCTTTCCTGGGTTTTATTTATTGCCACAAATACTTTTTATTATTATAGTAAGTTAGCTCAGGGAGGGAGCTCTCTTAATATCTTTCAAAATATCTTTCATCTTTTAGTTCTTCCTTCTTCCAACCTCTAAAATGTGTTGTTCTTATCAGGAAGTCAGTTCGAATGATTCTCAAACCTGTACCCTTCTGATAACAAATATTTGTAACAACCTATTTCCAGCCTGAAAATAAGAGATTTTCAATGTACTACACATACAAAAATTTAATGTGAAGTGGAAATACATGTGAGTCTGATTTATTTCACTTCAGTCAGACTCACGTGTGAACATCCTATTGTCCCCTAGTGTGAGAAACTGGAAGGGTAGATAAGATCCAGATTGTGAAGTGAGAAGAATCTGTTCAAAAGGAAAGAGAAATGGGGATGGGGCAAAGGAGAAAGGAAGAAAGGGAAAAGGAAAAAAATATACGTATGTACAAGATAGTTATACTACTAGTTTCTCTTTGTTCATTGACAAGAAAGGTTTGTGCAAATATTGTTTGGACAGTTTTTCAGACCTGTATCTTACACTCTGTGTAACCGCTTTGAAGATAACAATATGCAATGTGTTAACTAGTGCTACTCTCCTATTATCTTGTTTTGAAATTTTTATTTTTCTTTTTAAAGTAAAAATACAAGATAATAATTATGCTCCAAAAGCAACAACATAATAATAGGATTTATATGTATATTTATTAACTTTTAGTCTAACATAAAGTGTGGGTTAGTAGTGAAATTTATTATAAAAACTGTAATAAATTTCTGTGATATTTAAAGGAGGGGAAATAAAAGGAAAGTAATTAATATTTCAATGGAGCAGCAGCAAAGACGGTAACATAAGTGTTTTGCGTTAGTCACATATACCGCGAGTATTTTTGCTGTCCCAACATTTTGCTGTCAGTGTGATGATATCCACAAATATTTGAACAACTCTTGATAAAATTCTGAACAAAACGAAGTGCAAGTTTCCATTAGTCTGTACATTATGCGTATGTGTTTCTCAGAATTTTGGCATGTATTTGAATTATGCAAACACAGTTTATTTAAATGTAAAGCAGACTTTGGTTCTGGCCCAGATTGCTATTAGGTTTTTCATCATCATGAATATCCAGGAAGCCATTTGAAAGTTAGAAAAGTCAGAGCTTACGGAGCCATCCCATGCGTTCCCAGTCATCTAGCATCCCTAGACTGTGTGTGACAAATTCCATAATTACTCCCTAATCTATGACACTCAGTGCCATGTTGGGTGTTATTTTGTAACTGATCTCTTTGACAGTGGTTTCTGATGTGTATACTACATTTGAGGACCACAAAGTTAGAAGGGCTTTCTATATTTGGGAAAATGGTGAAAGCCATAAATTTAAAATGTTGTGAATTTGAAAACATTTTGAGTGTCTAGATCATTTTGGCATCAACATAATGGCCTTGAGAGAGGAATGACATTGTCTCTCTAACAGAATGGTATGAATAGCCTAGGAACTGAATTTCTGTTTTTTTTGGTTTTTGAGGGTTTTTTGTTTTGTTTTGTTTTGTTTTGAGACAGGTTCTTCCTATGCAGTTCAGGCTGGCCTTGAGCTCACTTTGTAGCCCAGGCTGGTCTTGAACTCACAGCCATCCTCCTGCCTCAGCCTCCTGAGTGCTGGGATTACAGGCGTGCACCACCACGCCCGGCTGAATTTCTGTTTTAATTTTGTATCAGAAACTAAGTGTACCAAGTGGACTAATGCTTCTCTTTTCCGTTATGACTAACCCACCTTTCTAACTACCATCAATTAAAATTCAGATCTTTTGCCAACTTGTTTATTCAAATATTACTTTAGGAATAAGGTAACCTTGGCAGAACAAAACCTTCCTCCAGCTGCCATTTGGCAGACTGGCAAAGAACTTACACCTATTAACTTACTCCTATTAAACACAATATGGAATTCTAGGAATACGAATTATAAGCCAAGGTAATTGAGAGTTATTTCAACAGATGTCCACTCCATGCTGTCTAGGAATGCCTTCCAAGCTATGCCATTGTTTTATACGGATGACTAGCTTGTCGTGACAAATGCGCAGAGTATCGTGGTGACGGTTTTCATTTCTTTTAGGGTATGTCTCTGTGCCAGACTGTCGTCGTAGGCTCTGTAGTCATTCTTCTCTACTCTTCCAGAGCTTGCTATAATTTGGTGGTGATTACCATATCTCAGAATACATTAGAAAGTCCGTTCAATTACGGATGGGATAATCTTTCAGATAAGGTAAGCACCTACCACATATTGCCAATGTACAATTGCTAATTGATAATACAATGGATACTTCAGTTGGCCTTACCTAGAAGAACAATTTAGTGTCTGACTTACACTTTTATGGAGTCTCTGCCATCAGTAATTATGCTTAAAGCTCTGCTTAAACATTTTCATGTATATGAAATCATTCTCTGAGGGAATTTTTCTGAAGAAGTTCTCTTATTGTAAATAGTAGTATTATAAATGTACTGGTGATAAACCTAGTTTACTACGTTTTAAAAGGATGGTGTTTAAATATCTGTAGGTAAATTAATTGTCTATCATTATTGGTGAACACAAGTATGTCTGTAATTTCCTAGGACAAAATTACCTCGCCCCTACCCATTAGCCACATATAACCTTAATTCTTGGTTTCGTTTTAGAAGTTTAAATATAATGACTTCCTTAAAATTCTGGCATTACTAATTTTAATAACAAAAAACCTTTCTAGGTCCTTTGGTGTCCAGGGACTTGCTGAAGTAATTCCCAGGACTCTAGCTATGACTATTTACTTTCCCCACCCTCCCTGTCACCTTCCTAAAAGTACAGTTTGATATAGCCATATGTCGTCACTTTTTATTAACCTTGTACTGAATTCAGGGCATCCCAGAATACCATTTTTCACTTACCTTTCTATGGGGAAGGAAAGTTCCTGTGGCAGACGGTTTTCACTCTTTTTCCCATTTCCCGCTGCCTACCTCTGTCAGAATAAAAACAAGTTGAAGTTGCAGATTAGGCCCCAGAGCATATGCGATGTTAACAGCTGAGCCGACTGACTGACCACGTCGTGACTGGCACAGGCCTAACTCAGTAAGTGCTGCTGTCCCAGGGCAGCAGCAGGAGTAGTCAGTCTTTAGACTATAAGGCCCCAAAATAGGACTGCCCCTTATTATCCAAAGATTAAAATTATTTTCCATAAATTGATGCATTGAAAAATATCATTATATGGGAAATCACAAAATATAGGAAATTTTAGAGTCTCTGTGCTTGTGATTGATATATTTTAACTTCCCCACACAGAAACAAGGTGATTGGGGATGTTTGTTTGTTTCATACCGGGAATCGAACTCAGGACCTTGTGCTTGCCAGGCAGACGCTTGCACGGCTGAGCTATGGCCCTGGCCCTGGGGATGCTGAGGCTTGCCCATAAAATATGAGTAAAAACAGCTCTGCCTGTCCTCTGTTCCCAGGCTCATGTAGAAGACGTAAGTGGAGAAGACTACATAGTATTTGGAATGGTCCTCTTTCTGTGGGAACATGTACCAGCATGGTCAGTGGTACTGTTTTTCCGGGCGCAGAGATTAAACCAGAATTTGGTATGATATTGTAATATCCCCCAGTGCTTGTTCTTATTCTTAAACTGTATGGAACATTTATGTTGATTTCCTTTTGGGGCAAAGTTTAACGCTAAAAATTATTATAGTCTAGTCTCCTTTCTTAGCTGAAAAGCAAGCTTTCATATACTATCTAATATTTTGTTCTCAGGCACCTGCTGGCATGATAAATAGTCACAGTTACAGTTCCAGAGCTTACTTTTTCGACAATCCAAGACGATATGATAGCGATGACGACTTGGCGAGACTGGGAAGTTCAAGAGAAGGAAGGTAGATGTAACAAAAATCATTTGCCCTGAATCTGTACTGACATATATTGAATAAGACAAATTTAAGTTTTAACCCAACTATTAAGAAGATGATTTGGTGATATATGTCAGTATATAAGACCCTAGAATGCCAGAGCTTAAGGCAAGATTTTAAACGTGTGGTGGGATGTCCACTATAAAGAACCACCATCTGACCTGAAACCTACATATAGTATTACCTTTATTTGAGAAATGCCTTAGGAGGTGAAATAGCACCATTTCATTGCAGGACACCTTGCTGGTTCAGAACTGGGTACGGGCTGAGGTGGATGAGTAGGGAAGGAATATTGTTATACTGATTATGTCTGTTTCTGTATCCCTAGTCCTTTCCAAGTCCACAAAGACACGTAGATAAAACTCTTGGGAAGCTTGGACGCCGTAGGAAGTCTTCCCAACCCTGCCCATCCCCAAACCATTATAAGCCCTTAAATCTGGCATATGATGAGCTGTTTATCAGGGTAAAGAGAAAACTGTCATGCATGCCTACATAATTATTTCAGCATGATGTAACAGTTGGTAATTTTGACTTTCTGTGGACAAACTACTTACGCTGGTTTTCAAGCTGTTTCTTTATATCCCTACTGGGAAGTGGGCATGATAGTAGAACCTGTGTCTTGGGGTTGGAGTGAGGACTGAGGATAGCTGTAGATAGATATAGATACAAATATATAGTTATATCTGAGAATAAAGCCTACCACATAATAAACTCTATCATTTTACTATTGCTATTATTATAAATTCTACCAGTTCTGAGAGGCATGTATTCTTTCATAATGTGTGATATAGACCAAAGATACTAGGCAAAATTCATTAAATTTTGTAGGTCATTATTGGAGAATCTATTTAAACATGATACTGTATTTGATACTGCTCAGAATTCACTGAAAATGTTAAAGATGCCCACGTTACTTCTCATATTCTGATGATGGCCCTTCGGCCTTTTTGCCTTCTCTGTTGCAGTTTACCTAATTCGCAAAGCTTGGGCTGGTACGGCACCATGACGGGGTGTGGCGGTGACGCATACACAGTCGCTCCCCACCTGAATGGACCCATGGCAGACACTGCTCCTTTGCTTTTTACTTGTAGCAACCTAGATATGAACAATCACCATCGCTTATATGTGACGCCACAAAACTGATAGCATTGCCAAGCCGTGCATCTTGAAGTGTTTTCCATGAATGTGTATAGCCAGTGTGTTTAAATTTCATCCACATAAACATTGCAACTGAGAACAAAATCTGGGAAGGTGGCTGTGTGATGGAGAACACAGCTGTTTCTTTTGACCTCTGCATAATTAAGCAAAATGGGAAGTTTGGAATAAGAGAAAAGAAGGATTAGATCTTAAGGCACTTGATTTTCTCCAAACATCCTGACTTTGGAACGTCAAATGCGTACTTGCATATTTGCACTTTTATCTTTGTTTGAAAGAGTACACTGCAGCCCCCAAAGTCATACTCCAGTGTTCACACTGGAATATTATTGTACACCAAATTGGAAGGCATTTTTTTCTACGAAAATCAAAGCCGATAATTTCATTGGTGTACTGCGTCTGGAATCCTTCCCCAGTTATAGAGTATGAGTGCCCAGTTAAAGCATAGAAACATCATCTTCCTCAAACAGCTACTAATGGGGCTGGGGATTTAGCTCAGCGGCAAAGCGCCTGCCTGGCAAGCGCAAGGTCGTGAGTTCGGTTCCCAGTACCGGAGAAAAAAAAAAAAAACCTACTAAAATGTGTAATTACTGAAGACAGTTCTTTGAAGCATGGATTTAAAATACTAATTGAAAGTATTCCAACAATCATTTTAAATAACTGATCACAGTAATCCTTTACAGTGATGAGCAGCAGTGTTCTTTGGAAAGCCACAGTAATTTCTTCAAAAGGAAAATAATAGCAGTGAAAATTGCGGCGACTTTGAGTAGAACTGGTCAAGTGATTATTTTGTATGATTAAAATATATAGTATATAGTAGTTTAAGCATGATTACTCAAGAAAGCAATAGTGATTTTTACATAGGGAGATTTTGGTAGATACTTCTTGGGACTAAACAAGTTTACAGATGCATTTAAGAATTTTCATGAAATGTAGGATTCTAAGTTAAAACAAGAATACATTTTCAAAAGCATTGGATTTATCTGAAACAAGATATAACTGATCTTACCTATTTAAATCAGGATTGTCCTCAGGTAAATTAAGTCATGGTACGTTATTGTAGTGAACTGAAGTGCAATATTTTGTAAGACACATAATTCCTTCTTTAGTTTTCAGTTCTATACTTTGAATTTCGGCAAAGCCAAATTAAACCAAAATCAAATTAATTCCAGCATTTGACTAAATGAGCAAATTTTAAAATGTACAAAGTTGTTAAGTATAAAACCAGAAATGAACAGTAATGGAACTTTTAGAAATACATTAAAACTGTCTTCAAGTTCCTACCCTGTCATTCATATATATCCATATATACATGTATATGTTAGGCTAAGACAAAATGGAATTTTAAAATGCACTTTGTACCAACGTCTATACGGAAAGTAGATGCTGAATACCTCAAGATGCCAAGGGAAGAGGCAACATTTAAAGTTATCACTCCATGCTTAAAGATAATCTTAAAAAATTCCCTGCTGATCTGTTTCTTCAAAACTAGAACTAATACAATTATCCTGTCTTCTACTTTGGTTACAAAGTTGTTTTATTTCTTTTTACTAATCGTATCTTTCAGCTTTTTAATAAGTAATACAGTGACATCACAAAAGTTTAAGAGTAGGTGAAATGAAATTGTTAATGCTTTCTACCTTTCTGGATGGTTGATACAAAATAAATTTCTTCTTTTATGAAACAAAGGACTTTAAATTCAATCAGAAGCGTTCTAATAGTTATAAATGTTATCTGGCATTTGTTAATAAAAAGTTCTCATAACCAAATTACTTAAAATTTTATAGTACAAGAGTTAACCGTGATATTGATAACAGTATTTTTTACTAATGTTTTTTTCAGTTATTAATTTCTTTTAGAATACAGCCATTTATTTTGCTGATGATGCTAGATATCAATCTAGACATATCTGAAAGATCTGTATTTTCTTTGTTAATCCGTGGGTTCAAGATAAATTGTTTTCTAGTAAAACCTCCCTTGATGAAGTTCCTATTTGTCTAAAGATGACTTTAAAACGTTGTTTTTCATATAAAACAACTTAGTCCTTTCAGCTGTATTAGCTGACTGTACTAAATCTGAGATTTGTGAATTTATCAATGACTAGGGTCCCTAAATTCTTGCATTTGTCTCCTTATATACATCTCACACAATAGATCACCAAAGAAGAGAAAGAGAAACTCTGGCCCAATTTTTGCTTAAAAATTCCAAAGCACTAGGAGCACTTTATGTTTGGTCGCAAAAGAAGTTGTTTATAAAATCAAAGGGCTACCAATTCCCTGTTCATCCTGCACTGAAGCACATGACAATTTCAAACCTTCCTTCGTGTTCCTTAATTTATAAAGTGGATCTCATTGCTTAAGTGTGTATTTCTACAGTGACAAGCAATATTTGTTTTTATCACTTCGGTTAGTTGGCCATTAACTTTGAAACTCTTTACCACTCATTATAGCTCGCTGTAGTTTCATGGAAGATGTAATTTATAGCTCTAGTGGGTTTTTTATGCATAGCTGCCTTTTTATTGTTTAACAGTGTTTCTCAGCTATATAACCAGTTCCCAACTGGTTGTGAAAGTATAGCTGAGGCCAATGAATGTATTTATTTGTTGTTTCACTCAATTGTAACAAAACACTACTGTTAAAAATAAAAGTGTGTGTGCTTTTATTTGGACATCCGGTTTTCTTAATCTCCCTTAATGGGCTCTACTGAGTTTCTCTTACACAGGTTGAGAACCCCGGTGTTACCACAGAAAAAAGAAAAATATCAAGAGTTACAAATAATAGTTTGCTCTTGGTGGTCTCATCATTATTTACATCTGGGTCTCACAGACATCAATATAATAGGAAATGCCTTACACTTTTAAAATACCAATGTTACTAGAAAGCACATATTTAATCCAGCATTAAGCCAAGAATACCTTTGTAGGAGATAATTTATACCACCACGCTCCTTCCGCTTTAGAATCTTAAACAAGAATCCACGCATGCAGCATATCCTAGCTACTCTTTCATCACTGAAGAAGTTCCTCAGTGATGCTGCCTTTTCCAAGGAAGATCCCTTTCATGGCTCAGCAAAAACCACAATGAAATTTGAATACAATTTCAGCTTTATTGATTCCAAAAAGTCTCCATATCTTTGGGGTCTACTGATCTTTGCTGTAAAGGGGGAGTGAAGGTATGACTTCTAATAAAATGAACTTGTCACTTTAAAAGCAATTTAGTCAACAAATGTTTATTAAATGTCCATATGCCAAAAAGTATGCTATAGAGATGCCAAAGTGAACACAGATTTTTTTTTCTTCCTGCCCTTAAGGAGCTCACATTCTAATAAAGGAGACTTTTAAAAACAAAAATAATACAGTACAATAAGTGATACAGTAGAGGTAGGTTGTAATTACAGTGGTGACACAAAAGTTACGACTCTCCTTGAATGGAGGGGGGGGATTTTCAGACAAGATACGGATGCTGAGCCTGCGAGGATGCATGGAATTTTCTGGTGGAAAGGATGGCTAGGGCATTTGATGTGAAGAGTATAGCGTCCACCCAGGTGTGGAGGGCTAGCCACACGGGGCATCTGAAGGACTGACTGTAACCTTGGGTAGGGAAGACATAGGAAAAGACCTTGTATACCACGCTAAGAACGCTGGCTCTCCCCACAAGCTTCTGAAGTCACTGCAGGTGTTAAGCGGAGACCAGCACTGCCAGAGTGCACCCGGGGAAGCCAATCCGGTAACGCTGTGGAGCAACGAGGACAGGTGATAAGGAGACAGTTCACGCGGCCCTCTGGTAAGCACAATGACAATGCAACAGCAGTGATGTACGAGAAAGGCAGAGGTGGTAAATCAACAGAACTTAGAACTCGGAGGCCAGGAGAGGAATGAGCTGAGAAAACAGAAAATCATGGTCCTGAACTAAAGTTTAAGAAACAAAGGCACCAGAGTAGGCGTGGGAGAACAAGTGAAGACACACACGGTGTACACTGCTTATGACAACGACAATGAAAGAGCCCAAGAAATAACCTTTAAGGAATCAACGAAAAGGCCAAAAATAAGAGGTTTAGGAGCAAACAAAATACAAGGAACCAAGGTGATAGATTTAAAAAAAAAAAAAAAGAAGAAGAGGTTTGTCAGTGAAAACTAGTCAGAAAAGAAGTCAAATAAGAAAGGACTTGTGAGCCGAACTGTGGATTTAGAATTAGGAGCTTAGTTCACAAGAAAGGGCTGATACGGACACTGGGCCAAGTGCCCGCTTTTACTTAGGGACAAACCAGCGGGAGGTGGCGAAGTGAAGTAAGAATACTCCTGGAAAGACTGGCAGCTGGAGTCGGGGGCAGCTGAGAGCTAGGGCGGTAAATACAGTTAACATGAAACCCACCAACCGTATTTCCACAGTACAAATGCCCTTACAGTTTTATATACACCAATCACTCAACAGAGGGCTTGACTTAATTAGCAAGTTAAGGTCTTTTTTCCATGCCCTATTCAGAGAAAATGAAGGGGAAAGGAAAACAATGCATATTGTTAAACTTAGTTCTGTGATTATTCATTTCAAATATACTACATACATATTACATTCATTCAACAAATGTTTACTAGATACCACCTATGTGCTTGGCACTATACCACACCTTAGGGACACAAAAAAAAAAGTAGCAGTGTGAAGTGGCAGCTCTAAAATGTTACATAAATAAACTCTGATTTGCTAATAATGCGAGGTCTCAGCATGTTAGACCTGCTAAGACATACATACAGAGTGTACATAATTTTGAGGTATACATTTTTTTTTCCCTACAATCACCATGTGGTATTAATTCTTAAAACTTTTCTAATACTTCATCAGAATTTCCACTAATAAAAATCTCCCCCAAAATTACAGCTCAGTTTTAGAGAGGCAAAAGAAATTAACTTCATGAAAAAATTAACTTCATAAAAAATAAAAATTATACACCCTAAGACTGCAGAAATCAAACATAAAAAGGTACAACGAAACTAAAAAAGAACTTCAGATTGGAACTGGAAGTGATTCCTTATTTTAAGGCTTACAGAATTACAGTTCTAGATTTGTATTTTTTTGTGTGAGAAAACAGTTTTTAGAAAATTATTCAATATTACAAGGAGTATTTAGGGTTTGAGGGGCATGATATGTGCAGCTGACTTTCACATGATCAGGGAAAAAAGCATGTACACAGAGAGCATGACAAAGTAAATGTGAACAACTGGTGAATCTGGATAAAAGTCCTTTGTACTATTTTTGAAACTTTTCTGTAAATTTTAAATTATATAAAAATAAAAAGACTCCCCAAATTTTCATTCAATATTAGGGAAAATATTATGAGAATAAATATATATTCTATTCAACTTTTCACAATGCTTACAAATCTCCTCTGCCTTTAAATTGTTCTGAATTTGATATGCTGAAACAACCTAGTCAAAATAGCAATTTAACTCTAAAAGTGACATACTCATACCAGTGTAAGAGTACACTGGGTTGTAAGAGCAGGGTTGTCAGATAAAACGCAGGAACCTCAGTTAACATTTGAATTTCAAACAAATAATGAATAATTTTTTCTATAAGTATGTCCCGAATAGCACATGCAACAAATTTTAAAGTAAACCAGTCGTTTATCTGAAATTCAATTCTAAGTGGGCATTCTGCATTTTTACTTTATAAATCTGACAATCCTAAATGTACTGAAAAATTCTACACTGTTAAGAGTTATTCATAAGCCTCCCTAGTATTTTCCTATTAAACATTTGTCACATTTGCCATAATTTTTATTACATCTTATCACACAAAACTCTACTTTGAGAGACTTAAAACATCATTCAGCTGGTCTGAGCATATAAGAATCTGATAATCCTGCTCTTATTCAATATTGAACTTTAAAATTTGTACCACATTATCAAAGTAGTTTATTCACAATAATATTAAACATAGGACAATTTTAAAAATATTTACTTAAAACAATATAACTCTCCTTTTACAAAAGCAGCTTAATATAAAATGTTGGTCTGAAGACTGTCATTGCCATTACATCTTTAAATGATATTCCACTCTTTGGCCTTCATTTTCCAAAAACAGGCTTATTTCAAATCATTTTCCTTAATGAATATTGTGTAACAAATTCCTGAAGTTTTCTAATTCTTTCACACTTGTAGAAATCCTGAAACCAAAAAATATTTCACTCAAAAACCATCTTAGACAAACATTCTCTGTAGAAGTTACTCAGTTTGCATCTTTAGAGCACAAAAAAAATTGAAAATTAATTTATTGCAATAAATGGAAATGTATATAAACCATTTTACCTATTTCGATGTACTTTAGTTCTTAATATGGTAAAAGTATGATAATATTGTCTGGAAATTAGTTATTTTTTAGTATAAAAGTATTGAAGTATATGTATGTGAAACAGATATTGAAAAACTTATGTACTTCATTTGTAACCATATTCATTTACTTAGTAATAAAGTAAAAAATACACAAATATTAAAATACTAAGGCATTTTAAGTATTAATAAATATATCCATATGCTTAATATAAAGTCCATAATACTAAGACTAGAAATACAGAAATAATGAAATACATACTTTAAATATTCACAAGTATACAAATACTTTAAAATAATATGCTATTTTACAAATATACAAAGAATGAAAGCTATTGTTCTAATAAAGAGTGAGAACAGTAAATGAATGTGACCAAGTTATCGCTGCACTCTATAAGAAGCGAAGCTTATTCCTCGTTACCGGAGGGTGTTCATTATCTCAGGTGGACAGTAGCTGTGCTCCCCAGCATGACGGAAGTAGCAGAAAGGCAACAAAACGTAACTGGCAAGCTCCTGGGCGCAGGGGAGTAACTGTACTGGACAATTATTTCAAGCCCCAACTATGAAATCATATTTTTTTAAGTGAAGAAACACAGACCTTAAAAATAATGATGATTTGGGGAGCTGGAGGTGCTGCTCAGGGGCAGAGGACTTCCCTAGCATGCGCACAGCCCTCGGTTCAACCCCCACCCCACAAAAACACTTTCAAAAGGTTTTAAAAATATCAACGTTCTTTACATTCATAAGCCAGAATGAAGGACATCTGTAAATAAATTTCAGCCCCCACCGCTGGCTCAGGGAGAACCGCGGAGCACCGAGCTCCTCCTCCCGTCCTGCGTAGTCTGCGACGGCCTCACTGGGTTGCCCGGGCCGGCCTCCAGCTCTCACTCCTTCTTCGGCCTCCCAAGTATCTGGGACTACAAGTGTGCATACCACACCCATCTCACACGTCAATGTTCTGATGTACGTTCCCTATATCGTACTTCCTTGCAATTGTGTTCACAGGAAAGAAGTATTTTTAAAAGGATTATTAATACTTTTATATAATGATGAGTTCATAGAGAAACCTATATATGTACCTGTATTAAACAACATGATTTTTCCAGGACCTTCAAAAAAATCGAACATCACAAAAAACTGCTTTTAAACAATTAGAAAATAATATACAATTCAGTAAGGCGAATACCAGTGTCCAACCTAACTTAATCATGAAATAAGAGTCCACAGATAAAAACTTTAAAATCATCTAATGATAGTGTGTGTCAACATACTTGGGCTATTTTAGAAGATCATATAATCCTGTAAGATTAATGCACTAAAAAGGCTGTTTCTTACCTACTTTCATCCGAGAGTATAAATGCTGCATTAGACTTACTTAGCAGAAACAATTTCAGTACATTCAAACTAACCTGCCAAATGCATTAAATAGTGATACAATTTCTTGTCTGGTTAGATGGAATTCATAACTGGGTCCACTTTCTGGCATATTTGCTATCAATTTCTCAGAAAACAAGATCTTCAGAGCAGTACCCAAACCTTGAGTCTATAACAGAAATAAGAAAATTAAGAAAATTCATGCAAAGGGTAAAGGAGAAGTAAAAATGAGCTTGCTTTGCTTACCTGAAGCTTTCCCCACAGCCGACACTTAAAACAACCGACACAATCCATGATCCTTGAAATATTTCTAAAATGCAGCCGGAAGTCCTCCTAAAAACAATTTAACAAGATTTTATCAAGATGTGCTATGTAGGCCTAGGAATGTACGTAGCTCAGTGGTAGAGTGCTTGCTGAGCATGTGCAAGGCCCCGGGCTCAATCCCCCGCAATACTAAAAAAAAAAAAAAGATGTAATATACAGTCACCTATTAAGTATCTGCTGGGTGCCTTCTATGTGTTTAACACTGGGCAAGATACTATGTGGTGCCAGTAACAGAAAGGAACTAACATTTATTGAGCATCTCCTGCACACCAGAATCTTTACAGGTACAACTGTATTTCATCATCACCACAACATTTAAAAAGTAATTATTACTATTATTATAAGCTATCCCTAGTGGATTAAAAATAAGACTCAGAGAAATTAGGTACCTTACCTAATTCCCACTGAGTAAATAGCAAACTTAGAGCCCAGGCCTGCCTGACTCCAAAGCTGCACGATCTGCCAAAACGTAAAAAGCAACTTCACTGATGGGCCCTACTGTATGTGATTATTAAGTACCTGTCAATCGTGGCAGGACAGGAGTTAGAGGACACCAACCAAAAAGGGAGCAAGGGAAGGAGACAAGGAAACCTTTGGTTTCACAACAGTTAAATTACAGTTCTTCTTTCTGCTATTAATTAGGTAAAATCAGATTTTCTTTTTTATTATTAACATAATTATTAACATGCAAAAATACTCTGAATATAATGTGCCCACCAGCAAGTTTTAGAAAGAAACCTTTCCAAGTACACTTGAAATTCGTCATGTATCCCTCCAAATTTCTGTATCCCATCATCCACTGCTATGCTGAACTTGTTTTTATGTATTTGCTACATATTCGTATATATAGGGTATTACATTGTTTATGACAGGGTAACATGCATCCAGCTCATCTAAAACTCGTATATGTCCTTAAGGAATAAGAAATAAGAAGGGAAGCCGAGAACACATCCTTCTTTTACTACAGTGGAAATTAATTGATCCTCCAAGGGACTCACTCTGTCCTAGGAGTGGAATCCTAAGCTTCCAGGATTTCAAGCAGAAAAGCAACATTACAGATATAACACCAATTATACCACTTGGTCTATAATTTAAAAAGCATGAAATGTGCTAAACTAGACACCGGCTCAAACGGTGGAAAACAGGACCACAGATCCAGCGCTGAGTAAATAAGCAAAGACTGGCACCCACTGCATCAGAGCAGTCCTAAGGTTATTCTGGAGACAGATTGACGCTTTGTTCAGCTTGAGACTTTGAAACAACCATAACATGTAAAAAATCTGTAGTAAATCTGTAGTAAAAAGGTTTGTAGTAAAAGACCCCAGATCTTTTATTTCACAGAAAGCCCAAACTGTTGATGTTCCCACATATTTTTACTATTCTCTGTGCCTGTTCAGGAAGAGGTAATTTAATTTGAAGCCTACTGTTGAAAAAATGACCCATCATGATTCCAGACAGATTTCATGATTTAAGGTGGCCCTTAAACCAGGGTTTTGCCCTTGACTTAAAGAAAAATCACACTTCAAACAATAGCAAAGTAATAAAATGAATGTAAAGCACATGTGCTGCTCCTACAAGCTACTGACGTCTAGAGGACTTAATAGCTGTTAAGAGTCTACAAAATTGTGGCCGGGGATTTAGCTCAGCGGCAAAGCGCCTGCCTGGCAAGTGCAAGGTTGTGAGTTCGGTCCCCGGTACCAGAGAAAAACCAAAAAAAAAAAAAAAAAGAGTCTACAAAATCCATATTAAGATTATATAAAGATAGAATACTTCCCACATAGGATCTATAAATATACAAATGGATACAAATGTTCTGAGTAATAAAATACAGCTTTTACTTTAAGATATTACTGAGTGCCATAGTGGCTTATCGGCAATTATATACTTCCATAATCAATAGGTATTAAAAATATACTCTCAAGGGGAAAAGATTTAAAAGTTTTCCACTTTAAGAGACACTAATACTTGTAAAGGCTAAAAGCCTGAGTTCTAGAAGATCATGCTTGTTTCTGTAGACACTGTCTAAATTCAGTATTCAAATCTACGGTAATTCAATCATTTGAAGGTGGCAGTTCTCAGGTCAGTCTTCACGTGCCATGTACAGAAAGCACGGATGCTTGCTTTCAGCGCCCAGTAAACACCGTAAAATTAAAGCCAAGCACATAAAGTGGCACCCATCTTCTGTCTGGGTGACTGCAATAGGCTAGAACCAAATTAACAGACGAGATTATGAGAACAGGAGAAAACTCCCCACTTCCATAAGTAACAATTACAGTCAATAACCTGAGTTTATCTCAGTTATCAGAAAAATTTAGGACCCTCAAAATAACCAGAACCCAACAGACTGACAGATTCTCCTTGTACAGGCACACAGTTCTAGGTCATCATTTTATTTGTTGATTTTAAAGAAATGCAGTCTCGCTATGTTGCCCATGTTACCCTCCAACTCCTGGGCTCAAGCAAACACCTCTTGCCTCCGCCTCTGGAGTAGCTGGGACAATCGGTGTGTGTAACCACATTCAGCTTTTCAATTTTTTTTTTTTTTTTGAGACAAAATCTCACTACTTTTTAATTATTTTTAATTACAATAACTTGGCAGAACAACGAAATGTACTGTGGTTACATGCTGTCATTTATACTTGGTGAAATCAACTGACCAATTCTCATCCAAATTCTCAAATGTTTTCATATGTCTTCAAGTGAGACCCTATTCTATTTTTAATTGAACACTAAATATCTCTTTCAGGTAATGAGTATAAAGGAATCAAGATTAGATTTTTTAAGAAAGAGTTTATAAATATGATTGTTCAAATCAATGATGTTTACCACAAAGTACTCTTAGGGAAAAAAAAGGAAATCTCTGATGTTCACGTGCTTTTTTCTTAACTTCTCTAAAATTAGGTTCAGAAAAATTCTGTTAGGTAAGGACCGCATAAACCTCATAGCACATGAAAGCTAAGCATTTGGGAGTTCTGATCAAATTAAAACATTGTGAGAAATATTTCTAATTTGCACAATCTAGAAAGGGCTGATGCCAAAACACTGTCCAATAAACCAGCAAGTGAACTAAAAATAAGGCATATATTGAAAATAGTAGGCAAAAAATAAGTCTTTTGCAACATCTTCCCCCTCACTTCCCAGTTCCTGGAAGCTGTTTAGAAGATTATATAATCCCTGAGGTATGTTTTTATAGCAAAAATGCTTTAAGTAGGAGATAGACGGGAGGGCAAGAATAACTATTACCTAACAGCACTCGCTTTTGCAGGCTGCCCAAAATCACTTTCTGCATCATGGAAAGAAACCAAGAGAGGGAGACGGTTATAAATAGTCCAATAAAATCCGATCAAGCCCCATGGTATTAAGGGCCTGCGCCCTTTACTGACCAACAGTTTGGTAAATACAACAGTAATCTAATTTTATTCGACTTCCCAAATAGTCTGGAAATCCCCTGAGGGTAAGAGCTGTGTCTCCCTTTAATGCAAAAATCACACTCTGCACACAGTGTTTAATAAGTCTTCCTAGGAATATTTTAGCTTTCCAGCATTGAGTGGCAGCTACACACACTAGTCTTCCTGAGGTCATACCCCTTTGAAGAAGCAAGGCAATGACCAGACCGCCTTCATTCTGCGAGGCCGCAGATCTACCTACACTTCCCACAGCCACAGGCGGGCATTATGACCTATCTTAATTTTCAGTAAACTGGCTGACAGAATGCCACACAGTACCTGCTCCTCATAAACACCATCTTTTAATTTAACCAACACCCTTTTTAGAATTTTCTTCAGGAAAAAGACAGACTAATACTGTCACTGACATTCTGGATCCTTCTGTTTAATTTATAAACACTATTTAGTACATAAAACCATCAATGTGAAAGCCATCTATGCAGGGTACAGGGTACAGTAATACATAGCTTGTTATTTTCTGTCATAAGGGTTTTTGTTTTGCTTTGCTTTGGGAATTTTTTCTTTTTCTTTTTTTTTTTTTTTTCTTTCTTGGTGCTGGGGACAAAGCCAGGCCCTCAAGCATGCTAAGCACGTGTTCTGCCACTGAGCTATACCCCTGGCACCTAGTTGTTATCTTGAACGTAATACAAAGTAGAACTTAGGTTGGGCCTGCCTTTAAGGAAAACTGTGACTCCAATCTTTCTCATAATTTCAGAATATATATCAGTTTACTATTAAGTATAAATACAGAGGCTTACTTATTTTTAAAACTGACAAGTAATTATATATGTTTATGGGGCACAATATTATGCTTTGATGTTAGGTTTAGAATATGAAACAATTAGGCCAATTGACAAATCCATTATACCTCACATACTTATTCTTTTGTAGTGAAAACACGTAGAATCTACTCTTTTAACAATTCTGAAATGTAAAATTAATTATTACTTCTTACAGTCATCCTTCCGTGCAACAGATCACTAAAGCTGATCCCTAATTGAAACTCAGCACTTTGGGACCAACACCTTCTCTTCTCCCACTTCCCTTCCCTTCTCTTCCGAGAAACACCGCTTTGTTCTCCACTTTTATGAGAAATACATGAATCTATATTCAGAACTGCATACATGTTAATCGGTTTATGTCTAACAATTAAGTTAAAGTATAAAATAATTACCTTTAGTTTTTGGGCTTCTTTTTTATCCCCAGCAAAAAGTGAATTCTCATCAAAATGCAAAGGAAATGACCTGCATTTTAGAATAAACTATTTATTTTCGTACATTATAAATATTAAATGCCCTGCTAATACAATACTTTGCTGGCCAATGATAAATAATAAAATTAAAATAGGGCACAAAACAGTAAAACCAACACTTCGATACAAACAAATTACTTTCTCAAATAAATGCTAATTGTGTAACATAGTACAGGTTTGGCCCCAAACTCAACCTGACCAACTAAATATAAAAATAATGCAAGCATCACATACTAAAAAAATGGCTCTTGAAGTTAACAATGTGTGGTTTTGGCACACCCATCAAAATAAAAACAAAAGTCAATCCTGAAAGTTCCATGAGCAAATTGGCTTTTAATTATTTTCAAAGAGTTTTCCTTTCTCTACATAAATGTTTAAGAATTTAATTTTAGAAACCACTTCTCACTCATCTATTCATGTATAAGCTGCAATATAACTTACTTGATCTCATGAAGAATTTCCAGAAGTAACATTTTGTTTTCTGCATCCTGAATTTTATTTCCAGTGAAGAGCTGAAAATCTGGGCGCTCAAAAAATGGTAACACTTTAGATAAAGCCCTTAGTTCAATTAAGTAGAGAAAGTACAAGTTCTTAAGCCTTCTGGGGCCCTCTCCTTCAGTCAAAACTGCATCAAACCGCTGCTGAAATTCTGTAACGTTGTGTCCCCACTTCGTTTCCAGCCAGGTATCTAGGAAGAAAAAAATGCTAAAAACTGAATTTTACTTAAATAACTTCCATTTTGTTGTATTAGGTTATTTATATTTGTAGACGTTAATTTCATTTTCTATTTCAAATATCTATTATATAGGTATATAATATATATATATATTATAATCAAGAAAACTGGCTTTTATAATTTAATCATTAAAATTTCTGTATTAAGATTTTTATCTTCTGGAACCCAGCCATAAAAGCAAAACTGAAATCACTGTTTTACCAAGAAAGTAGTTCTAAAAACGTGATCAAAATCACATTTCTGAATATAAACATATACATAAATCACAATATATAAATGAAAAATTACTATCTGAAATGTTTGAAGGATTATTTCAAGTCAAAGTTATTCATTTGCTTCCAAGAGGTAAAACCCTCTAATTCCCAGAAGTATGTTACAGACGAAAATTAAGCGTGGTCTCATTTATCAACAGTATCCCTGAAGCGTAAGTAACAGCAGAAAATGCTTCCCCATTACAGCTGGCACTTAGGCTCTGATGTTACATCTAACAAATAACAAACTGCTGTTCGGAGCTGGTTTAATTCCCACAACAAAAGAAAATAATATTTCCAAAGTGTCATTTTAAGCAGTTTCTTAAAAGAAGGTAAGGAGTTAATAATATGCCAAGCTATTCAATTATATCTATTCATACTCCTGATTACTACCATTTAAGAAGGGATTTTTACAGCCTAATATTCAGGGTGGTCTGTCTCTTTCCATTCAGATAGAACGATGGGGGCTGGAGATTTAGCTCAGCGGCACAGCGCCTGCCTGGCAGGCACAACAAGATCGTGAGTTCAATTCCCGGTACCAGAAAAACACACACACACACACACACACAAAAAACCAACAGATAGAACGATGAAGAATTTAAGAGCGCCTGAAAATAGTAAGAGGTAAATGTAAATACCACCTACCTTGTAAAAGGTACCTTGCACTCAGATGCACATTAATGCTTGCATGTAAGCCAGATATAAGTCTGTAGAATGCTCTTTTCTCTACACAGAGGCCTAAAAAGAGTCAACGATTTAGAAATAAAATTTTATATGTAAATCTTGAAGGTTATTAATCTCATGATTTTAAAAATGAAAAAATCAAATTTGTGTAAACATTTCTAATTACCTTCTAGCCAACTGTAAAATGTGTTCTCTGAAATTAAAAGAAAAACAAAAGTTTGCAAAAATGCCACGAGATAAGTTTTCCCAAAGTGTTAAGCTACCTTATAGAAAATCTGTGCCAGTGTTTTAAAGATTACTTAACCTAAAGGTTCAAATCTTGTTTGCAGCTTTTTCAAAGGAAGACGACAAGAAATGACAGACTCAGTCAAGTACCAATCTGCTTCACAGACTTGAAAAGGCCTTCGCCTTGCCTGAGGCGGCCACAGTCCCATTATTTTCTGGATAAACTGTTTTATATGATGCCAAAATACAGAATTTAAATAGTAAAGCAATCAAAAATGGGAAAATACCTAGCCTAGATAGATACTGTGAAAATTAAAGACTCATTATATGCTTTTCAAATCAGAAAAATAAATAAAAATTACAAAATCGCATAGGAGGTATATTATTTCTACACAGCAGATTGTATTCCATGTCATTCACTATTTCAAAAGAGCAGTTTATAGAAATGTTACAGAAACCAATAATCTCTTACATTCTAAGGCCTAATAAGATCACTTTTAATAGATTTAGAAATTTTGTTTTTAGAATTATGATTTAAAGAAGTAACTAAAAATGCAGCAATGCAAGACATTTAGAACAATGATTATATTAATTTTAAACTCCTAAACAATAAAAATGTACAGTAATGTCTAGGTTAATATGATGGAATACCATGTAACATGGTATAGTTAACATGGTAAAATAACACAACTATCAAAATGACAAAAATTTAGAATTTTGCAACTCTGTATGTGAAAATGTTTGAAATATATAAAATATGTAAGAAATCATAACTGCAAAGATTCATGTATATATTTGCTATACAGATGGTAAGTATTGTACTATGTTACAGGTTTAGTTTTTACTAGAGTTGCTTATAGCGACATTAAAAATAAATCCCAACCAAGCATAAAAATAATACAAGCAATGGCAAAGGGAATAAGCAATAAATTGGAGTACAAAAATTTTAAATGTTTGTTTACAGGAAAACTTGATACAAAAGCAAAATGCGAAACCAAACTGTGCACATCACGTTGTAAACATGACACAGGCATCTACCTACACACATAAAAACATCACAAACCAAACAAAAACGCTAAAATGCTCAGCGAAAAGGACCCAGGCCAGTCATTTTCCCTTAACCTGTGCTACTGCCTCCAAAATTATAAAGAAATAAAAATCCAGTTCTTTTGCATCTCAGAAGTAGGAAGAAAAAATTGTTTTTCTTTAAAATAAATATCCTAATGTATAAGCAAATCTGTATGTGTAACATATGAGAAAAAAGTTATACTTACCTTTGTTTTTTCCTGAAAAGCAGAACAAAACAAAGTATTTATTATTATAAACTCCTACTATTTGCCCCTTTTACAATGCTACACTTGCATAAAAGTAAGACTTTCTAAACATGAGTCATTTCACGTTATTAGCCCACCATACACATCTGTAGGTGAGACACTCAGGACTGTACTCTCTCTAGCGGTGACAGGAATCCTGCCTGGGGTGATGGACTGACATCTTCAGGGGCGCCCACAAGAGCTTCCTCTCACCAAGATTTAACATGGACTGACAGGAGGGAAAAATCTAGTCTGGCATCTGAGAGTACTCTTAATTAAGTATCTTAAGGACCTATGTTTATTTGGCTGCCAGAGATTTTTTCCACAGTTATTGTCCTAAGTGACAACATAATTTCTGTTAAAGATTGATATTATTGCTTTGAAATCTCCAGACCGACATTGTAAGATTTAACCTTAGGAATATTTTCAAAGATGATAAAATGCAGCAATTTGTATACAGCTGCTTATTTATGATTGGATGATTATCTTCATTTTGTTCATTTTTGTAATGCCATCATGGATTATTAAATATATATTTATTGCAACTATGTTCACAAAAAAGAGATAAAAAGTTATCCGTAACTCCCACCCCATGATAAATACCATTTATATTTTGTTAAATGTCCTTTTCCTCTGTGTGTAGATATTTAGAGATTGTATTAATAATGCTCTTATAAAATTACATCATACATGTTTTGATTCTGCCTGCTTTGCCTCAGTGTGCTACTGAGTGCTATTAATCATTTTTTATTTTAATGGATAGAAATTTATGGCAACGTTTGTTATGGCTGGACTCTACTAGTGACTTTATGTAAGTCATTTAACCAGTTCCCTCATGATAAACATTTAAATTATTCTCATTTATCTTTTTTATTTTTTCTCCCTGTAGTACTGAGGATTAAACCCAGGGCCTTCCCACTCGGCCGTATCACCAGCCCTTTTTTTGCTATTAATTTCGAGACACAGTCTCAGCAAGTTGCCCATGTTGGGCTCAAGCTTGTGATCCTACTGCCTCAGCTTCCCAGGGTGCTAGTATTATAAGCATGAGCCCCCATGCCCAGCACCCATTTATTTTTAAAGTACGTCAGGGCTGTTAATGTATCAAACCATAATGTGAGTTCACAGTAAAGACCATCACTTATCTATGCATTTGTATTTCACCCGATATTAAATCACTAGCTTCCACTTAGTCACTGTATGTGACTCTGTGCAAACTCAGAAAGCCTTGTTTAAAAGGCTTTCTTAATCCGAGTCAGTCAACATTTAGAGAATGATTCAACCTCACTGCCTTATGGGAGAAATTTATATTTATTAACTTCATGAGATCAGCATCTTTTCAAGGAAATTTTTAAAATTATAACCTTACACATTTGCTAAAAGCACATCAAAGATTTTATCAGTAAGCACATACTGAAAGAGAACAGATATTATTTCTACGGAACAAGGCGGATGGATCATCACTGAAACTGCGTATTCGAAAAACCATTCGGCCTCCGATTGACTGGGGGGGCTTGAGGGTTTCAAGCATACACTCTCTGCCACCTACACAGCGCCTAGCACAAGGATATGATGAGTACTCGTTTGTGGAGAGAACAAATGACTTTCACTGTGGGAGACAAGGTCACTCACTGAGGACAGCAATCACTGACAGTGCACCTAAAAGACTTCTCCATATATGATGTATCAGGCTCTATAGAAAGGGAGAAAAGAAATAAATGCTGCCCATATTCCCAAAATCCTAGGGTAGGTGGTAGCTATATCAGTACCAATAATTATACCTAGGAAAAAGAATGCTGGGTGAGAATACAGATGTTATAAAGTGACTTCAAGAGGACCAGGGAAAGTTTTGTGGAAAAGGCAGCATTTGGACCAGGCCTTTGTAGAAATGAAAGATGCTAATAAGATATACCAAGATACATGTAAATTTGAAATCAGACTTCCAATTATGAAATCTAACTATAGAATCAAGTTTTGGGAAAAATTTTGAGTTTTCTGTATATTCACCTACCTGGAAGATGAGTAAACACTGAAATTAGTGAACACACCAACTAGTGTATATGCAAAAATACACAGAATAGTATATATCCCAATCTTCATCTTACGTTAGTCTAATACCATGAACTTCAGTACAAAAACACTCCTTACTGAGACAGAAATACAGCTGTGCAGGGGGAGGCCTACCTTCTATGGACACAGGACTGTAACTGCATGACCTAAGCAGCTCTCGCCATTTATCTTGGCTTCGCTCTTCCTCTAACCAAAGTCAGAGGCTGATAAATAATATAACAATGCAGATGAGAAACTCACCTTGACTAGAAGCCAGAGGATTTAAAGGCCTTTTAATTGTCTGTGGCCTAGAAAACAAAATAATTAAAAGTAGTAGTGTTATCAGTCATGTTGTAATTATTTAAATAACATGATATTATCTCAGGAAGTTAATTAATGACTATATCCAAAGTCAAATAATTTTATTGGGACTATAAAATATTTAATTTTCTCTAACTGCATTAGAAATCATTGGCTATTGTTTTAGTAATAATAGCTCCTGATCTAGTCCCATTATAGCAGCCAGCAAGTCATTTCCTAATCAAGTCTTCAAGCAAAAGAAAAATCACCAGTCAAGCTCTCCTCTACTAGTTACTAATACTGTTTTTTCTAATCCATTTTCATATGTTATTAATATGTATGTGTGCATACCACGCAGTATACCATTAACTGAAAGACAACCAAAAATACAAACGTTCCAATGTAAGCATTAAAACTCAGCAGCAAAAAAAACTGCTGACAGATTATTTTATACTTCTGTAATCTTAAACACATCAGTTGGCCCTGTGGCCACCAGGTTTGTTATGACTTGAGTAAAAGGTTTTCATAATAGGAAAAAACAGCCAGAAGTTTTCTAGAGAATTAATATATTACTAAAGTGCTTTGAATAAAAAAAAAAAGAATAGCCATTAGTATTATTAATAAACTGCAGGGATTATTTTAATTTTCTTAATTTAAATTTGCACAACTGGAGACATTTCAAGAGAAAATGTAAGCTGTTTTAGCATAATAAATATAATTTAGTGATTCTATAACAATATAACATTATTTACATTATTAAAAATATTGGAATCAGGATATGAACTACAAAATAACTAAAAACTAGCACAAATCTAACAAATGCCTTATAGACTTAATTTACACTAAAAAGAACAAAAAAAAAACTCTTTAAACTTTAAATCACTAAACCAAACATTCCTAATAGTTATTCAAGAGAATTTAAATTCAATGCATGGCAGAATTAGTTAATAATGAAAAGTTTTGACTTTGCAAAGGAAAAACTCTTCAAGTCAAAATAAAGAGACAGAAAGGAGAAAAGAAGTAAAAAATGCATTATCCCCATACTTGGAAACTCCAAAGATTTTTCTAGAATTGCCTTTCATCTCTGAGAAAGCATCTCTCTCTCTCTCTCTCTCTCTCTCTCTCTCTCTCTCTCTCTCTCTCACACACACACACACACATACACAGAAATTTTTTCCAAAAACCAATTAGCCTCATTTTTTCCAAAAACCAATTAGCCTTGTAAGTGAATAACTCGAAGCACCCCTCCATCACCCAGTGTGACTGCTTCCACTGCAGAGGTCAGGAGTATAAAGTGGGTCTTTCCACTTCCTAGATCCTTCACACTGAATGGAATGACTTCACCTCCCCAAGTCTCAGACTCTCTATCTGTAAAGCAGTGATAACTAACCCAGGTCACTGTGTGCACTGCAGGAGGAAATGCCTGGCATATGGCCAATGCAAAACAAAGTCACCTTTTAAAATTATTCTCTGAAACCAATTTAATGTTAAATTAAATTGATTTAATTTAACATTAAAGCAATTTGAAATAACTACAACCACAGAAAGGACAGTATAGAGCACCAAAAAGCGAAGGAGTTGTGTATTAATCTGTCCTCTGCCACTAATTATCTGACCTTGGGAAGTGGACCAAATCTTCCCGGATCTAGGTTATTTCATCTACAAAACAAGACTTCTGTCCCTCTCTCAGACAGAAGCATTCTTTCCCCCAATAAATATATTCTGCTCTTTAAAAAAATGAGACTCTACAATCTACTCAGGAACATTTGTTAAGTACCAATGATACTTCATAAAGACCTGACTTTTCAAAAAAGATTAATTTTATATTATTATGATTTTGCTTATTTGTTTACAAAGAGAAATCATATCTTACACGAATTTCTAAAAATGACACATACTTAAAACAGTTTTCTTCATAGATGACATTCCATATCTTCCATGCGTCTGGTCCCTTATAACCCGTGTAGCGCTCAGGATTAAGGAGCAAATCTACATATTCAGCATCAGGAGACTGTATGTCTGTAAAATAAAATGCTTTATTCAATCTTTTTATCTTGAATTATCTTAAAAAGTGAGTATACAGGTATGGTGTTGTACATCTGTAATCCCACCTACTCATGAGGTTGTGTAAGTTTGAGGCCAGCCTGGGCAACTTAGTGAGACTTTGTCTCAAAACAAAAAATGCAGGGCTGGGGATATAGCTCAGTGGCACAAGCACCCGCCTGGCAAGCACAAGGTCCTAAGTTTGATTCCCGATACCCCCCAAAAAAAAAGAAAAGAAATAAAACCATTACTTTAAAAAAAAAATGCAGAGCTGGGGATGTAGCTCAGTGGTAGAGCACTTGTCTAGCACGTGCAAGTCCTGGATTCAACCCCTAGCACAGGAAAAAAAGTACACAAGCCTTGACTCCAAGGCTTCGTGAAAGTTACAACATATCAGGAATATAAAAACTTCTCAAGAAAAAGAAAAGAAGAAAACAAGTAGCTACCTTAACTGTACACACTGGTAGCAAAAACATTCTGATTGAAAGGAATGGTAAAGAAATAGGAATACGATTGCAGGGGGCGGGTACTTGGAATTGGACCACACTGAGCTACAGCCACAACCCTTCATTTTTCATTAAGCTAAATTCCATAACTGCTCAGGCTGGGCTCAAATATGTAACCCCAGAGTGCTGGGGTTATAGACCTGTGCCACTTGCCCAGCTGGAATGTATGCATTTTAGAAATCAAGAAACAAGTAACTCCATTCTCATAAGCACGCCGATGAATATAATACGCATTTTTCCACATTAACCACAGCAGTTCATCAGTAACTAAGGTAATAGAAGAGTGTTAGAGCCATACACTACTTTTTTCCAAATACTTTTTTCTCACTTGTCCACTATCAGGACCCCCTACCAAGCTGTCCTAAAATATAATACTAAAATGCAAAAGTTATGTACAGAGTGATTTTCTGTTAGAATTATTCATAAAAGGGAAAAGTGAAAGCAATTTAAATGCCCAACATAGCAGAGCAGTTAGAAGCACAGGCCTTGGAGCCAGAAAGCCGGGTTGGGATCCAGCTCCAGCTACCTATTCATAATTTACAATACTGTATGTTTTAACTTCAAGGACAGTAGCCCTAGTCTTCCACTGGCTAATTAATAGTACAGCAATCTCCTACTCATCTATAAACTTTAACAATATGAACCAACCGACAAATGAGGAAGAAGCCAAAATGGCCAAGAGCAATCAAAGTCAGTGACAAAAACCCGGGCACGTGAATCTTTACAAGAGTCCACCACAGGGCTGAGGGTGTGGTCCAGTACTACCTGCCCTGCACATGTGAGGCCCGGGTTTGATCCCCAGCAGAGGGGGACAGAGGGAGAGAGAGAGGGAGAGAGAATATCAAGCTCTCAACAATACCTATCTCGGGGCTGGGGATTTAGCTCAGCGGCAAAGCACCTGCTTGGCAAGCACAAGGTCGTGAGTTCAGTTCCCGGTACCGGAAAAAAAACAAAAACAAAAACAAAAACAAAAAAAAACAAACAATACCTATCTCTCATTATTAAAGAACAACAACAAAAAAGCCAGGCTGGCTATTTCTACCCACTGCCCACTGTATCGGGGGCATAGATTAGGGGGAAGGTTTCTTCTAGAAGCAGCGCAATGATGGCATCTAGAAATGCCCGAGCCTAACGCAAAACAGAAACCCAAGTAACCAGAGAAAGTCACTGACAACTTCAAGAAACGAAAGAGCATGGAATCAGCCAGTTCAGGGGTGGATAACTGTTCACTCCAATGAACACTGAAAGCAACTGCCACAACATAAAAAATTATCATAAATTTAATTTTAAAACCCCAGATTTTAAAATATATAAATAATGCTCAGCACTCCATACACAAAACTAACCACCAAGAAATGATTATTAATAATCTGAGAAAAATATTTATTGCCTCATAAGTTTACTTAAGACAAATATTTTATCTCTCAACTTTGTAAAAAAGTTACTATCACCATATTTTGCCACAAAGGTATAAATTTCTCATCAGAATTTATAAAATACCTTTTGTACTTCACCTATCATTTATGTAAATTATTTATTCCCTATGATGCAGCCCTTTTGAAAAACACCTTTCCTGTTTGAATGGGAGAAATTATGCAAATGGGCAAGCGATTCACCAAACTCTGCCTGATGTCAGAGGTGAACTGTTGATTCTCCATGCTACACACTGCAGTCTTACCATCTTTTTTCTAACACTGAAGGTCTAAAAATACTTGCTGTATATTAAAATTTAGTTTTATCACATACAACGTTTAAGGCCAACGATTCTTGAGGAAAACATTTTGGTAAAATAAGAGATTTGGAAGAATATGTTATCCCCTTCCTATACTTGTCTAAATCTTGGTGTGTGCCTCTTTCAACACACTGAGCTCAAGTATGTTTTAGAATAGACAACTTTTAGACTCTACAAAGGTAACACAGGACATGCAACATATATGGAGTATTATCCCAGCAGGACCTGGGCAGCAATCTGCAATCACAGGGCTAGGGTGTAACTCAGGAATAAAGTCATCAGCTAGAATACGAAGAGGTGAAATAGGTGTTTCGGAGGCCTGAAAATAAAGCATGGTTTCTGGGTGGCAGTAAGAGTCAATACCGGTAATTTAAAGCAATACCACAGGGCTGGAGGATGCAGCCCAACACTGAACACTTACCTAGCACCCCAAGGGCCTAGGCCTGACACCCTCCCCAGGAGGGGGAGAAAGATGATTTCTGCTGTGAAACTCCTGACTGTCTGAATATTCGCAATAAACGAGTTTACGTTACCTTTAGGGAGAGAAATAATGCATTTTCAGTCTTCGGATTTTGAAAACAGAAACGTGGCATTTCAGACATGTATATGCCCAAACACGGGCATGTCTCCTACTAAGGAAAGCTTCTCATTTTTCTTTTCAAAAAGAGGGCACAGCTGGGCAAGGCCAGCTGCTCACTAGGCTGAGGCTGGAGGACTCTTTGAGCCAGGACTTTGAGACCAGCGTGACGTGCAACACAACGTGACCAGTGCAAAAGGAAAGTCACAAAAGTCACAAAATTTCCCTTTTCCTTTCTCTTTTATGGCGACTGTAGACTTCATCTTTTACTTGTAATTAAAATGATCTGCATCATTCTTTATAGTCATTTTTTAAAGACCATTAATCCACTACCAAGGAGCCAAAGAAAGACACTAAATTCAATTTGATTTAATTTTGATTAGCCAATTAAAAGGCTAATAAAATCAAACTTAAAAAAGAGAAGATGCAAGAAAAAGACGAATGAGAGAATCTATAAATCTTGATCAAAGAGTTGCCATGGATTCCAAGGCTTTTAGATTTTAACATCACCAGCACTAAGGCTTGGCTTTAGATGTTCCAGACATGACTTCATGGTTCAATATTCTCGTCTCCAAAAGCCACGCAGACCATCATTAAGGAAAATTACCACAATCCAACAGTAATGTAAGAAGCAGGTTTTAGTAATCCCTCCATTTCAGCTACCGATACAAAATGTATGCATATGTTACAAAATTATGTACACCAGATACACAGAACAGCAAAACTGAACAGGTGAATTTTTTTTAAGAAACTGAGGTCCCTTTGCAAATCGTGCTATTATGGTAAAATATATAAAACAAAATTTACTAGTTCAAGCATATTTAGGTGAACAATTCAGTGGCATTAAGTATATTCACGATGTCGTATCACTATCAACTTCTATTTCCAAAACTTTCCCACAACCCCAACCAAAACTTTCTTAATTACTCAACAATAGCGCACACACACATACACACACACACACACACACACATACACACACTCTCCTACAACTTCTGCTAACATTTAATCTAACATTCTGTCTCTTATAAAGTTACCTATTCTAGGTATATCAGAGAGGTGGGCTGATAAAATACATGTCTTTTTGTGGTTGGCTTATTTCATTCAGCATGTTTTTAAGGTTCACCATGTTGCAGCATGTGTCAGAATTTCACTCCTTTCTGCAGCTCAGTAGTATTCCATTGCAGGAATATCCATACAGCACATTAGTTTATCCATCTGACACTTGGGTTGTTTCTACCTTTCAAATACTGTTGAATGAGACTGCAATGAACACGGTTTTATCTATATCTCAGTCTCCATTTTTAGTTCTTTTGTCTGTATACCAAGGAATGGCACTGTTAGGTCACAGAATAATTCTAAGTTTAACTTTTTGAGGGACTGTAAACTGTTAGAAAATG